ATTAGCTCCCCTGTTTATTTTTTCTCTCCAATTTCTGTTTAATGGAGAGAAGATTGTTTCAGCACATTCCTAAGCATAATAGTTTTAAAAACTTATTTCTAATAACTGATTTATTTTATCTTTGTCATGATGACAGTAAATAATATTTTACTAGATATTTTTCCAGACACTTCTATACAGCTTAAAGAGACGTTTAAAGGTTTAACTAGGTTAACTAGGCAGGTTGGGGGGTCCCAAAAATGTTTTTAAAAAAAATTAAAACTGCTTTTATTCTTGCCGATATAAAACAAATAAGACTTTCTCCAGAAGAAAAAATATTATCAGACATACTGTGAACATTTCCTTGCTCTGTTAAAAATCATTTGGGAAATATTTAAAAAAGAAAAAAAATCTAAAGGGGGCTAATAATTCTGACTTCAACTGTATATATATATATATATATATATATATATCATTATACTTATGGTTTTGTGGGCAGTAGCTTTGTTTCAATAATAATTTTTAAACTGTCATTTAGCCTCTAATCAAGAACAATACACAGTGGTGCCTTATATTAGATTGTTTTTTTTATAATAAAAAAGTTATTTCAAATATTAATACCCACTTTAAATAGGATATCATTCAGCCAATGGACATCGCTGATTTTTTAAAGAAAACAGACCTTAAACGCACCGGATTTTGCATTGGCATTCAATTCGCCGGAAGCGCTTAACTCAGGGTACTGGCAAATTAAAAGTCCTATTAGCATGCTTCGGCATATGCCCCTATATTTTACAGTCTATGGTCTTGACTAGTGCGGTTGAATGACACCTGTCCTGGGAGCACTGTACCAATGTGGCGGCGCTATTGACGCATGCTCAGGGTCCCTATGCGATATCTAGTGTATATATCTATGAGTAGGCCTACAGTAAATGCTGTCAAAACGACAAAAGCCACAAGGTTTGACTATAAAACATTTAACGGGTGTGTTCAGAGATGATAAACTGTTCCTGAGCTGCTGGATGAGCCTGGATCATGTCTTCCCAACAAACAAATCCCTTTAAAAGTCTGTGTTTTAGCAAAATGGCGGTTGATTTACTCACCGTAGCTGATCTCTCTTAGTCTCATTTCCTGTTTCTGAAGGTACCACATCCCACATACGACGCTCTTTTT